CCCCCCCGAGTTCCTCGAATAATCCACAGGCGGATTATGCGCGCGGAATTAATCGACGTCGTGGCGCGCGGCCGCGTCCCGCTTTTCCAGCCGATGAACCACGCGACTAACGGTTTCGTCCGCTGTTGCTAGAGCAACCGATCTCCTTCCTCTCGTTCGCGTTCGATCTGGCGAGTCGATCGACGAGACACCATTGACAGCAATTGACGTCAATTGTCTACCGCTCTTCCGCGAATTCCTCGGCGATCTTCTGACGCTCAGATGAGATACGACACAAGGCAAGACTTTATTTTATAGGGTTTATAGGGTTTTCTCTCAAAAGAGACGTCTCTTAGACTGGTGTTGCAATATTGCTCGTTTCATTCATATTGATCAGGAAAGCTGTACAGGCGAGGAAAGAAAGTACAATGAAGCAGAGGAAACAAACGATGGACATGTAAATGTAAGAGAAACGACATTAAGCACTTACAACATCATGTATCTACAATGTTGTGTACTTGCGAAAGGGAACACACCGCTTTACGCATTTTATGTCCAATTCGTGATCGAGAGTCGTCGAATAGGCTACTAAAGTCTTTAAATAATCTTGTTAGCAGTATTAAAAACTCTAGTTGTCAAATCGAATTATTCGAGTTTGATTTTTTTTTTTTCTTTGTAAATTTTGGATCCAAGGAAAGGAAAATATCTAGAAGGCACAGCTAAGTTAATAAAGGAGTACAATCGATACAGTCGATTTCTGTATTAAGCATCTTACGTAGAAGAAGCAAAAATCAAAAATTCAGTGTCTATTTTTCAGAATTTTTATATGCATCTGAGAAAATGCATATTTAAAATTCATTAATTTAAACAACACTTTTGATTTAAGCAACACTTTTAAATTTATTAATTTAAAACGGTGAATAATTAATTTACAAATTGTTAATTTATTGAATGCAAATTTATGCTGAATTCTTTCTACTAAAGTGCAACAAGCTGCTTAGAAGGAAGATATATAGATAATAGGGATATATTCTAATTATAAGCGCGGAATTACGAGAGAAAAGTATAGTGTAGTGCAGAGTAGATGGTTCCTTGAAATATTTAAATATTTAAATTATAATTTACTGCTTTTAATCTGTTATCTGGTCTCCGCAACTTTCCTAGAGCGACGACTTTGTCATTGAAAAAAATTTTCAACGTGCAAATTACCTCAGTCATCTTAACACCAAATTTTGAATAGTTTAGATTTATAAATATATTTATAATTAACTACCGATAGTTTATATTTATAAATATGTTCGTTGAATAGACGAAACATACGTAATTATGGTAATAATTATTGGTAATTAACTGCCAATAGTTTATATTTATAAATATATTCGTTGAATAGACGAAACATGCGTAATTATGGTAATAATTATTGGTAATTAAATATTGGTAATTAACTACCAATAGTTTATATTTATAAATATATTCGTTGAATAGACGAAACATACGTAATTATGGTAATAATTATTGGTAATTAAATATTGGTAATTAACTGCCAATAGTTTATATTTATAAATATATTCGTTGAATGTATTCATTTATCACTATTATTACAATTCAATGTGTTTGCAAACAAGCACGGAAAATCGTTCCAATTAAATATCACCTTTCAAGAATGAGAGACGTTCGTCTCTTAGAACACTAAAAATCCGCCAAATATAAAGAAAAAGAAGAAAAAGAAAGGAAAGAAAATTCGCCTAACGATCCTGAGAAATCTGAGGCGATTGAATTTGAAGGAACATGTCCGATGCAATCGCGTCAATCCGTGCGAAGCCACCTCGATCCCGATCGAGGAATGTGCCGAGCGGGCGTCGCGACGCTGAAAGGCGGTCGCCATCTTCCGATCGGTCGAATAGTTGGCTTGCCGTGTCGCGTGCGCTCTCGTATCTGCTCGCCGAGACGGGGGCAGCTCGGGACTTGAGCGCGCGGCGGGCGAAAAAAATGTCGAGCAGAATGCCATGACCCAGCGTGGCATTTGCATCCGTAGGATCTAATGAATAGCGAGCATTACGTCCTATTTGGTCTCATTGCGACCGGCCGTGACGATGCCGGTGCGCATAGCATAGCTCTCGCGCTATTTGCAGTCTGGCAGCAGCCGGTTGCACGGGGCGACGGGGGAGGGGGAGGGGGAGAGGATCGGCACAATGGACGCCGACGCCTGGCGTCGGTATGTGCTCAATGGAGCCTCTGCCCCTCTTCTAAGGGCGCCGCTCGTACAATTTACCTACTAAACGTCCACACCGAGACACGTTTCCTTCGACGATTTGCCGAAGTGACTGGCAGACTGGTTGGGCCATTTAAGGGTGGGTCCGAGGGTGGTAAAATCCTTGGAATTGTCGGCGCCGTTGCAGCCGAATCGTCGAAGCGTTCCGTCCACGGGCATTTCGTTGCTCGCGGTCCACTTGGCCCTGTAATATTTTGGCCAGCACTCGAGTGATGTCGATATCGCTGTCGATATCGCCGGGAACTCTTGCGATCGTTTGAAATGTGGATCGGTCAGCTTGATGATATTCCTCGGATAGAGTAATAGAATGGTCGAGTAGGATCATTGGATGGTTGGCGATCGACGAACGTATTCATGGTATCAATCTTACCCGGGACTCTCTCGCGATCGTTTCGAAATGTCAGGTTTCCTCCAGGTAGAGAATGGTTGAATAGGTCGATTGGGTGGTTGGAGATGGATGAATTAATATTCACGATATTAATTTCTTCTTTTTTTTTAAATCTTCTGTAACGAACGAGTGGATGGATATCAAGAAAAATATAAATGACGATATTGGTTTCATTTGTGCGTTCCCGGCGGTCTAATTGTTTACAAAACGAGCAGTTAAAAAAGGATTAAGCAACTTCGCGACGAAACGCGAGAGGAAGAATAAATCACGATTCAGTGTGACACGCATAAATGCATAAATATTTAGATGTGTACGCAAGATGGCGGAGATTGTCTCTCATATTTCAACTCTGGTAATTAGAAATTTCACGAATCGCAAGTTCGCGCAATGCGCACGCGATGGCACACAGAAGCGTGTGAAATTCTCGCGAGCGAAAGGACGTTGCAGAATTTATCAAGATCCGCCGAAGCACTGACACGAATTTTACTCAAACCGTGACTATCTTAATCATTGCGTGTATTAACACAGAGCAGTTAATGATCGTTCACTGGATTTCATTTATTAAACATATCAAGAGACAACATATCAAACATTTCACAGAATGGAAATTATATTGTCATTGGATAGTAATATTTATAAATAAAAGACGTGCACAATATGTGTATTCAAGTTATATATGAAATTTAGTAAACTCCAGTAAAAATTAATTATTCTGTGATTGTTACTTATAAGGAAGATTATATTGAATATATATATGTTTAATATTGTTTTCACAGTTGAATGTTCACCAAACATAATTAATAATTTTCTCTAGAGTTAATAATCCATCAAACAGAATAGTTAATAATCTTTTATTGGAATTCATTCATTAAATTTACTAAGAGATATCTGTAACATAAGTTTGAGATTAAGAAACATTCATATAATATTTATGAATAAAGAAACACAAATATGTAGATTCAATATTGTTTTTACGGTTGAACATTCACCAATTTTTTAAATAATGTTAATAAATTAATAATTTCTATAGTTAATAATTTTAT